ATATAGCCAGTGTACCAGGTTTTGGGGAACGTTTTTCACCCATTTCAGCTTTTTATCGAGTATTATACCAAGATACCTTGCAGATTCGCAGCAGAAGTAATTACTCAACGATTCACTGTCTTGCCAGTCCCATCGGCCATGCAGTTTCCAGTGATTTCGCAGTGACCTGGAATAAAAGTAACGAAGTAATCCGATGCGGTCAATAAGGAAGTCAGACACTCTCTCAGCATTCTCGAACGCACCCTGAAGAAGCCAATAGCTTTGATAGCTGCTTGGTTGTCGAAATAAATATTCACTACCTTAAAAGGTGTGCCTTGTGTAACAGGGCTGCATGACGAAACGATCTCCAACCGCATGCAACAAGCCCTGCGCATTACGCAAAGATGGTGTGACACCAAAGGATTATCCATTAATCCTACTAAATCTATTCTGGTTCCGTTTACCCGGAGGAAAAAGTTATCCATGACAGAATTGACTCTGGGCGGCACTAGAATAGGGCTCTCAAATGAAGCAAAATACCTGGGGGTGTGGCTAGATAAGACACTCACCTGGAATGTACATTTGGATGCAACCGTAAACAAGGCAATGAGAGCCTTCTTCGCATGCAAGCGACTTTACGGGAAGACATGGGGACTCTCCCCCAAAATGACTTACTGGTCATTCAACACAGTTGTGAAGCCGATAGTCACCTATGCATCCTTGGCATGGTGGACAAAAGCGACACAAAGAACTGCTAGCGCAAAACTAAGCAAACTACACCGAATGGTGTGCATTGGTATAACAGGGGCTATGCGGACCTGTCCTGCTGATGCACTTAGTGCTCTTGTAGGCATACCGCCCTTCCCAATTCTAATAGAGAGGGAGGCCAGTCTCTCGGCACTGAGAATCCTAAACACTTCCGAGTTAAAAACCGGAAACATGACAGGTCATATGAAGGTCCTTATGAAATTCACAAATGACCCCATAATGCATATGAGGGACTCAGTAGCTCCGATACTAGTAATTTCTAGGAATTTCAAGGTATCTATTGCGGACCGAGCATCCTGGAGCACAGGAAACCCCTACACCAAACCCGGAGCTGAAGTTTGGTACACTGACGGATCAAAACTTGAAGATGGAAAAACTGGAGCTGGTATATTGGGGCCGAATTTTAAAAGATCGATACCAATGGGCAGCTACCCCACCATTTTTCAAGCAGAGATTCATGCGATCGATATCTGTGGCAGAGAATGCCTCAGAAGAGGCACATCCTCTAAAAACATCTGCATTATGTCGGACAGTCAGGCTGCCTTGCTAGCACTGAGGTCCCACATAATAACATCCAAACTAGTGTACGACTGCCTCAACACCCTAAACGGTCTTGGAAGCAAGAACACAGTATTACTGGGCTGGGTGCCGGGGCACGAGGGCCATGACGGCAATGAACAGGCGGACCGCCTAGCAAAACACGGAGCTACCACACTATTCTATGGCCCGGAACCCTTCTGCGGGCTCACCAAAGCCCACTTAAGGGAGGTCATAGACAAGTGGGTCGACAAAAAATTCGAAAGGCACTGGAATGAATGTCCGGGGCAAAGACAAGCTAAGCGGTTCATCTGTCCATCACGAGAAGCTTCAAAAAAGCTCATAAATCTAGGCAGGGAGGACCTTCGAACTCTCACTGGGTACTACACGGGACATTGTTCCCTGCGTTATCACCTCAGTAAAATGAATCTTTCAGACACGAGCGTCTGTCGCTTCTGTGAGATGGACGAAGAAACGCCAGAACACATCCTTTGTGAATGTGTTGCTCTCGCTAGACGCAGACTCGCTCACCTAGGCGGTACAACACTTAATCCATTCGAAATATGGAACAAAAAGCCCACCGAAGTGCTAGCTTATATTAAAAGCCTTCATATATAGGGTAAAAGGCCACGCACAATAGACCACCTTAGAGGTCGCAGTGCTCAAGGCTCATAATAATAATAATAACCTTAAAAGGTGTTACACCAGAGAGAAACTGACCCGAAGCCTTTTTTATTGCCGTCACCTCTGCTTGGAAGATACTACAGTGAAAAGGTAACCTAACTTTCAGGCTGATGGACAGCTTTTCGTAGGAGAAACCTTCACCTACCTTCCAATTCAGCTTCGATGCAACTGTAAATAAGTGTACAGAACCACGAATCCAGATACTGCACCCCTCCCAGTCCTCTCTCGCTGGGATGTGGATGGGGGACGGTCCGAGTCGGTAGGAACCCCAAGCCTTTTATAATACTGGAGTGTCCATAGCTTAGCGGCTTTTTGTACCCTTCAAGGTACATTGAACAGGTAGTATCAGTAGAGCAGCTGATTTGATTTATTTTCAAATTATTTGGTCTCGAAAATGTCAAATATTTTTAATTTTTTCTCACGAAAATTATAAGTTGTTAAAATCCATTTGCTTGTGAAACCTTTTTCCATACAAAACAAGCGATTGAATAGCAGCTTTTGGAACGTTCGCCCAACTCGGCAGCACGACCGCTGATTACTGGGCCTTGCAAAGGATGGATCAATGCTTCGAGAAGCAAACAAATTTACTAGGAAAGAAAGTTGCATCAATTTTTATTTTTTCCAATTTCAATTTTTTATTTTTTATCATTTTTTGTATTTCACATGGCACGCTTTGATTTAGAAGAAAAAATTCAGAACAGTTGTTGACACTTTCGATACCAGAAGCAACCACAAAATACACGCAAATGTTGTTTTTGCTCTACTGATACTACCTGTTTAATGTGCCTTGGTACCCTTTCCAGCTGCTTCACAATGAAAGACTTGTCCAGTGCGTTCCACCAGACGAGTACTCCATACAATAAAATTGGATTATTTATTAATTCATAAAGCCAGTGAGCTACCTTCGGCGGAAGACCCAAGCCCATACCAATGGCCCCTCTTCAACAATACAAGGCTACCGTAGCCTTCTTAACTGTTTTCTCTACGTTAGTCTTCCAGCGTACTGTCAAGGATCAAGCCCAAGTACTTCGACCCGTCAGTAATCCTCAGAGGAAGACCGCCCATTGAGAGAAGACGGCAATTCGGTAAAAAGAGTAACCTCCGTTTTACTTGGGTTTATTCCCAGTCCCCAATTAAATGCCCAGTTCCCAACGAAGTTAAGGCAACCCTGCATAAGTTCAAATGGAAACTTTCCTTTTGTTATCAAGGTCTAGGGGTTAAGAAACTTGAAAGAGATAATGACTCAAAGAAGGCGATCCTCGGTCGGGACTTCCGAAATCTCGTTTCGGGGCTCGTAGCCTATAAGCGGATCCTTCCTGGATCCCAATTGTATGGAAAGTGAACATCGAAGAGACTCTTTGCTGCTCATCGCCCAGTTATAGCTCTCGTATCCCAGGGTAGCGGAATTCTCAGAGAGAACTCGCCTAAATCACGGATACTTCTGACTGTCCTCCACGCTCTCACAGAAGAGTCTTCACGAAGTTTCGCTTCGTTTTCCTAATCTCGGCTTTAAATATCCCAAGTCTAACCTTGTACAGAACCCAGTCGGAGGCTGATTTACTTCTCCTGGCCTTGTTTAAAAGGCCTCTGCTCAAGACCCCAAGGTAGGAAAGCTCCTCCGATCACCAAAGCGGTTTGCTTATTCCTCAGGGACAAGAAATTTCAATGGCCCTTTACATGAAGTGGTGAACATAGCAATTAATTCGTCCATTCAACTTTCAATCAAGATCCGCTCGCGGATGAACCCGGAAGAATGTTGGTTCTCCTCAGACTCCTGTAAAGATATTGCTTGGGACTTGCTTCATCCAAAGTTAATTGAATTCACGACCTCATGTTATCTAAGGGTTTGAAGGGTATATTGGTGCCCTCACCTTTATTTGGATCACAATGCTTTTTGAAATCCTTTTAACTTTGGATTCAGAAACTAAACTTACTGCCATTCGGTGGCGGCGTAACACTGTAAGCCCTCCACTTGTGTAACAACCTATAGGCACCCACCACAAATTGGAGGAAAAGCTCATCCAGGCACTCAGCAAAAACCCTTGTTTTCCATGCTTTTTTGTCATAAATTACAGAGCAAAAAACTGCTTCCAGGCCGGCAGCAATTTTTATCCCTGCAAAGTAGGAATCAAATCTATTGATGAGCTTATTTTAAACAATATTACCAACGTTTCAATTTTATTGCAGTAATCTTTAAGAGACTCCTTACTACAGAGCATAGAGTGGGACTAACCCCATCATCCAAAGCTTGCAACTTAATGCCCTCTAAGGTGTTTTACATATACATATGTATATGTATGTACTAAAGATCTTAAGCCCATGTACTATAACTTGTTTACATACATCTGTCATCAAATCCCTTTGTATTTTAGATAATCGCGTAAATTGAAAATTGGATATAGAATGAATTATAAACTGGATATAAACGAAAAGAAAGAAAAAATAATAAAAAACTGACATCTGTACAATAATTTGCAAAGCTCTTTAGCTGCAAAATGGAAAAAGGTAGGCGCCAAATGAAAAAAAAACAACAATTTCCGTGATTATTCCCTCAGTGGAAGTGAAGGCGAAGACAACTTAGATGGATAAATCTCGATACAGGTAACTGTCCTAAGTAGATGTGCTGCGCGTGAGCCACAAAATTGACGCAACAAATTGACAAAAGTCCCGAACCAACGGAATCTAAGGCGAATGATTTAAAATGCGAAGCACATCGGCAGCAATAACTCGCTGAAAACCGGCTGCGTGCAGTAAGCGTACTGATTAGGTAGGGAGCAAAGGACACCGTGGCAGCGCGTGCAAAACGAATGTGTAGGTGCTACCTGAATCAGCTTATAAACTCAACAAGGGACGAAGCCAGCAAAAACAGCCAAATGCCGCGGCCCGCTCTGAGGCGGTGGAATAGGGCGAACAAAATGCGCAAAAAGGCAGACATAAAATGAAAAGTTTGGTAAATCAGAAGTAAAAAAAGGAGAACGAAAACAGATAACGGTATTTGTTTACATACATATGTATATATCTCGGCATTTCACCTACTCACCTTCATCTTCGCCCATTTCACCCAATTCGCCCATATCGTTGAACTCGACTATTTCCGCCTTATCGCATTGCTGTTGCTGCTGCTGCTTCTTCACAGTTGCTAACGCTTTCTCGAGTATACCACCGTCACCCTCATCTCTCGAGGAGCGCTTGTTAGCATCACCGTTACTTATAATTGAATTTGATTTCGAGTGATTTGTGGGATTGCTTGACGTCGCCGTAGCCGCAGACGCAGCCGAGGCAGCCGAAACTGCGGATGAGGCTGAGACGGCAGATACGCCAGAAGCTGCGGATGCTGTCAATCTAGTTTGTGTGTTATCGCCACCACTAACACCACCACCTCCACGCCCACCACTGCCACTGCCACTGCCGGCCTTTTGTTGCTCCAACAAATTGCCATTCTGCTCGCTGCCAGCATTTACGGCAACATCACCATTGGTGGTTGCGGTGTTGACGACGAGCTCACCCTCGCCACCATTAGCGTCGCCAGTGTGGCCATCTTTTGTCTTCAGCTCCTGACTGGTATTGCAGCCCATTTTCGTGTGCCTTTAGGGATTTCTTTTAATGTTGCTTTTCTATTGTTGTTGTTGTTGTTGGATGNTCCTCGCCACCATTAGCGTCGCCAGCGTGGCCATCTTTTGTCTTCAGCTCCTGACTGGTATTGCAGCCCATTTTCGTGTGCCTTCAGGGATTTCTTTTAATGTTGCTTTTCTATTGTTGTTGTTGTTGTTGGATGCTGTTGGAAAGTTATGGCTGTGGTCGTTGGTATAAATGCGTTGCTGCCTGTAGCTGTATTTCTGCCCAGTTCTGGTTGCTGCTATCGTTTATGTTGTTGTAGTTTTCGTAGCTGCTTTTTGTTTTGCTGCGCTGCGCTGCGGTAATAACTGCGGTTTTTGTTGGCTGCACTGCGAATATGTGATTTTAATTTTGAACTTCCACTACCACAATTTTAATATTNGTGCCCAGTTCTGGTTGCTGCTATCGTTTATGTTGTTGTAGTTTTCGTAGCTGCTTTTTGTTTTGCTGCGCTGCGCTGCGGTAATAACTGCGGATTTTGTTGGCTGCACTGCGAATATGTGATTTTAATTTTGAACTTCCACTACCACAATTTTAATATTTTTGAATACAAAAAACTTTTTGGTGTTTTATTTCTAGCGCGAACTTTATTAATTTAGATGATTGAGGTGGGTGTATGTTTTAGTAAACTTTTTCTTTTTTAATTTTTTCTGTTTCCTGAAATACTATATCCTGCCGTTTAAAGTTATTTGTGAACTAAGTTTTAAATCTGAAAATTTTTGAGTTAATTTAGAAATTTGCATTTGTTCTTTATTTCATTTAAAAATGCGTAGTCAGAAGTCTGAAGAAATTTTATTCATGAATACGTATGTTTTCTCGTTTGGACTCGAAATCTGGTACACTGGCACCAAAATATAATTATAAATGATCCATTTGCTTCAATCGATCTTCTTTTCGCCGTGTGGGTTTCTTATGTTACTCGAAATAGGCTTAAAACTTCTTGCGGAAATCCCAAAGGTGTATTATTATGATGACCTTTTTACCTAACCTAAGTGTCCCCCAGTTCCTACCCAAGCTCAATGAATCTTTGTTGTATTCCCTCCTGATTTATTGCCGGCTCTGTCAGTCTTCAGAACTTTTACTTAGACAAATAAGTTCACCTTATTTTACTTCTATCTCCCATTGTTAAATCTTGGGTCGGAAGCATATTTCTTGTTATGGAAGTCAAAGCAGCTAAGCTTGTTTGTTAGAACAAGAATTTCTCAAACAGTTTTGGGAAATGTTGCTAAGTGACAGCCCTTGACCATATATACATCTGGGTCGTTTCGGTCACTTAGACCCGGCTGAATGTATGAACTTCTAATAAATCCCGGCGGTGAAACCCTGAATAACGGCAGCAGCGGCTTTGTAAATTTATAGCTTCGGGAAAGAAGTGATATCTAACCAATAATTCTACCCTAATCTCCAATAACATCTTTATTACTCTATTGGCACAATCGGCGTGGAGATATGTCTCCCTCCGCCTCACTTTTTACTTCGGGAAAATATACATAGTCAGGTCTAAGAGTAAGCAGACACTGCATCTAATCTTAGATGACGTTTTGGTCAAATCGCGGTTTTCAACTCCATTATGGTGACTTTTAAGACTTTGTGCCGAACATTTTTTCTAGACGTGATCAAACTCTATTAAAATTCGAGTCAAATCATCAACTTATCTCATAGAAAAATTTTGATAATCTGATGATCCGATGATGATCTCGGCAGAGCGTGAATCTTTCGCAGATCTCAATTGATAAAAGTAACGTGTAGGTTCTGCAAATATGAACAATGGCCTCAGCCTAACTAACTTAATCAAATCGTCAATGTCTCAATAATTCAGACACGCCTTCGGCTCTGGTTCTTTTGGAAAAGTCATTGTGAGGAACACCAANTTTTTTGAATTAATTTAGAAATTTGCATTTGTTCTTTATTTAATTTAAAAATGCGCAGTCAGAAGTCTGAAGTAATTTTATTCATGAATACGTATGTTTTCTCGTTTGGACACGAAATCTGGTACACTGGCACCAAAATATAATTGTAAATGATTCATTTACTTCAATCGATCTTCCTTTCGCCGTGTGGGTTTCTTATGTTACTCGAAATGGGGTTAAAACTTCTAGCTGAGATCTCTAAGGTATCCTGTTATTATGACTTTTTTACCTAACCTAAGTGTCCCCCAGTTCCTACCCAAGCTCAACTAATTTTTGTTGTATTGTCGGCATAGTACGATTCCCTGCTGATTCAGCGCCGGCTCTGTCAGCCTTCAGAACCTTTACTGCGATATGGAAGTTAACCTTATTTTATGTACTTCCCTCTCCCATTGTTAAGTCTTGGATCGGAAGCATATTTCTTGTTAATAAAGTCAAAGCAGCTAAGCTCGTTTGTCAAATCGTTATGAAATTAAACTTGTTATTATTCTAACAGCAAAAAAAATCCTCAAACAGTTTTGGGAAATGTTGCTAAGTGACAGCCCTGACCATATATACATCTGGGTCGTTTCGGTCACTTAGACCCTGCTGAATGTATGAAATTCTAATAAATCCCTGTGGTGAAACACTGAATAACAGCAGCTGCGGCTTTGTAAATTTATAGCTTCGGGAAAGAAGTGATATCTAACCAATAATTCTACCCCAATCTCCAATAGCATATTTATAACTCTATTGGCACAATCGGCGTGGAGATATGTCTCCCTCCGCCTCACTTTTTACTTCGGGAAAATCTACATAGTCAGGTCTAAGAGTAAGCAGACACTGCATCTAATCTTAGATGACGTTTTGGTCAAATCGCGGTTTTGAACTCTATTATGGTGACTTTTAAGACTTTGTGCCGAAGATTTTTTCTAGACGTGATCAAACTCTATTAAAATTCGAGTCAAATCATCAACTTATCTCATGGAAAAATTTTGATAATCTGATGATCCGATGATGATGTCGGCAGAGCGTGAATCTTTCGCAGATCTCAATTGATAAAAGTAACGTGTAGGTTCTGCAAATATGAACAATGGCCTCAGCCTTACTAACTTAATCAAATCGTCAATGTCTCAATAATTCAGTCACGCCTTCGGCTCTGGTTCTTTTGGAAAAGTCATTGTGAGGAACACCAAAATATTTCTGTATGTCTCTTGATAGCGCTGTAATCTAATAACAGGCCTCAAGCAGTAAATAAATAATGTGAATTTTCTTTCTAACAGACATCAAGTTGTCTCCAAATTCCACTCGGTTCTTTCATTGATATTTCCCTTGTAATAAGCTTACAGGTATCGACAGGTACTCCTAATCCCAGTTCGAATCACCTCGACTGTTACTATGCCTGGTACATCCTTTTGTCACAGGATAATACGCCACCATTACCTTTGTTGAAGAGATTCTATAATGTTGAATTCCCTGAGGTTGAATATTGGTTTCATACCAGCACTGAGCCCGGACTCACACATTGTCGAATCTTCGCTGATGGCTCCAAAAATGACTCTGGGTCACGATCTGGTATCTTTATCGAAGTTAAATTGGATAAGCCCCACTTTTCTCTTGAGGCCTATGCTTCGGTTTCCTAGCTGAGGTATTTCAATTGCAACAAGCCTCAGAATCCTAACTGAATCTAACCGAAATTAAGAGTTTTGAGTTATCAATTATAGAGAAACAAGCTTTATGTACCACAAATTAACATACTACTTATGTCGTACACCTTACAAAAGTGACAAAAACATATGTCTAACTAAGGTATTAAATTCACTCCTACATAATTCCTCAAACTCAAAATGGTTGTCGACCATGGCATTTTACATTTTGATACGTGGTTAGTCTCACAGTCTGTGGACATTTATAGAACTGCCACTAGATTTCACTTTCTCAATACTGTGAACAACTCTTAAATTTTTGGCAACAAAACACAACGAAATNTCTATTGTATTAGGTAAAGGCCACTCTTGTGTCGATTTGCAGAAATTTCAGCGGACATCGGGCACTTTTCAATACTGTGAACAACTCTTAAATTTTTGGCAACAAAACACAACGAAATTACTGTGAGTTTTACGAGAGTAACGAAATCATCGAAGAGCTATCGTGAGAAGAACCCTCAACACTCTTCTTATGTCCAAAATAGTTTAATGATCTCAATTGGTCTTTTATTTGTATTTATATATAGAGATACTCAACCCCCAGTATGTATATGTTTTAGAAATGCTGTAGATCAATGCTTATGCATCGGATTTCTATGAACCTTGTATTTTCCTTCTCAAATTCGTCAATACAAATGAGGTGGTCTCTCTCTCTCTGTTAGAATAAGCAATATGAGTACATATTTCCACTGTTTCTCTAACATACATATTACTTTCTTTACAATTAAAAAAAATTGTATTATTTTCTATTTATTTATTTTTTGTTTGTTTCTCATTTTATTTTAATTTATATTTTTTAAGGTTTTTGTATTCATAAATTTTATTTTATTTTGTTTTAATTTGTTACTTTTTCATTTTATAAATTTTAATTTTTTTCATTCTGGTTTTTAAATCTATTGGTTCTTATTTCATTCATATCACTCTTTATCTAACTTTATCTAATTATCTTTATCTAATTAATTAATTTTTTATTTAATTTTATTTAGTTTTACTTCATTTCAGTTCTATAAAAATTGTATATATGTAATACATTTTTTTGCGTTATTGTTTTTAATTTATGTTACTTTTTTAATCTTATTTTAATTAAATTTAATATAATTTTTCAATTTTTTGTTTAAAGTTTATTTATTTTCATTTAATTTGTATTTTTACACTTTTTCCGATATTTTGTTTTGTTGTCTCGTCTTATTTTAAATTATTTACATAAATGATTTCATTTTATTTTACTTTTATATTTTTCAAATTTTTTAAATTCATGTTAAACTTTTACTTTTGTTTTATTTTCTATTAATTTTTTTCAGTATTAATTTTCTGTTGTATGCTATTTTTATTATATTTTTAATTAATTTTAATTTAATTGTATGTAATTTATTTTATTTCATTTTAGTTTTGCAACATCTTTATAAATTAATTTAAATTTTGTTTTAGGTAGTTGTTTAGTCCATTATTTTATTTTTTTTTTAATTTTTTTTTTTATTTACTTCTTTTAATAATATTGTTTAATTCGTTTAAGTCTTTCAGCTTGTTTTAGTTTACTCTATTTTAGTTTATTCCTATTTATTTAATATTTTGTTATTTTATTGTATTTCATTTTTTCCAATTAATTTTATTTTATGCCGTTATTTTTTCGTCCTAATTTTATAATATCACAAGTTTTGCATGAGTATCTACATATGAGTAGTCCACTTGCAAACAGCGTTAATAGAACGCCATAAATTTGAAAAAAACCACTATGACAACAAGTACCATTTAAATTTAATCTTTTTGATTATTA